AGAACCCAGTGGCAAGCACGTTTTCCCTACACTAGTGGAAATGCTTAGAATATATGCCACCCTACCTGTATCAACTGCAACTGTGGAGAGATCCTTTTCAAAAATGAGGTAAATTAAGAACCAACTACGAAGTCTCTGCTCAGAGGAGAGACTCTCCGACCTTCTCCTTATAGCCATTGAGAGGGACATCCCAGTGGATCACAGTGAGGTCATAAACATCTTCAAACACATGGCTCACAGAAGAGTCTTGTTGTAGTTAGTTATAAAGATACCCGGTATATCTAAACCGTGTATATGTGTATATTATCTGTATAAAAGTTATAATACTAATTAAATATAAGAATAGTATTTTGTGGGGTTTTTTTTCAGAGGTGGAGGGGTGGTGGGGGGGTGCCCTTTTTTCAATTGCAGCACATGCCCCTCAAAAGGTCTGTGCACGGCCCTGCAGGTCATAGTAAACTGAAAAAACTGATGCTGAGGCTGATGAAGCCTCTTGGATACGAGGTGGAACATCTTCGACCTAGAAATCTAGTCCAGTTGATTTTTTCTAAGTTTTTTCAGTCCACCTTAACATCTGTGTTTATGATGCTCAAAATGTTTCAATTTTTGGTGAAATTGTCATAAATGTATAAATTCAATTATATGCTTATTACTGAGGTCATAGCTAAAGGTGGTGTTTTACCGGACTACATTATATTTAAAGGTGTTCCTAATATTCTGACCCTCTCATTATGTAGCTCGGGAGGACAAAAATATAGGGACACCTCTAAATAAAATGTAGTCCAGTACAACATCACCTTTAACTATGACCTCAGTAATAAACACAATTTCACCAAAACTGAAGCATTTTAAACATAAACACAGATGTTAAGATGGACGTTTTGCACTAAAGTCCATACAATTGTACAGGTGTACCTAACAAAGTGGTCGGTGAGTGTATGTTACTAGAAATGAGCTGCCTGTCAGTGGTGGACTGGCCAGCAGGGGCTCTTACAGTCTAAAGCAGATACTTGTCAACAATGTGAACAATCCTATTCATTCTAAAATACATACCGTACTGTATGTCCCACTGTTGTTTTGTGCTCTCTGTCACTCCCACCATTAGTGGAAAAGCAGCATGATTTCTTTGACAGTGGACTACTGTATCAGTTCTGCATTTGTTTTCACTGCTGCCACCACCTATCTGAGCTGTTAAGCGAGCAAGACAGTGACAAGGAGGTGATGGAGTTATCCCAAAAAGAGAACAGCCCCTACAGTCCATTTGTTCTGTGTAAAAGCAAAGCCCAGGAGGGCAGCAGTGCCTTCCAGTCTGGTAAAAATTTTAATAAATAAATAATAACATATCTATTCCCTTTTTTTCACTTATTCACTATGCTGTGAATGTTAAAATGCGCATTATATGTTTTTTTTTACTACCAATTTAATTACAGTGAGGTCAAGTAAAGAGCTGAAACTTACCAGATGCTATCCAGGCAGCTTGAGTTTCCTTCAGCTTCACTCTGCTGGATTTTCACCTTTTGTCCATCTGTGTTCAACCTCAGTGGTGAGATGCAATCCTAAATCAGGCAAGTGTGTAGCTAGTATTCTGTCATTAGTCTTAGTATTTAGTATATTGAGGCTTGCTCAAATAAAATACAAACAAAACCTTTTAATGATTTTACAGTGCTTGGAAGAAAATGTACATGTGAAGAGCTAATGGCACCTGGTGCACCTTTCATCAAAAAAGTGTTGACGGTGAGTTAGTGTGAGCTAAAATGTATGGAATTTCTAGGATTTTATTTCATTATTTCAGTAAAACCTGAACAACAATAAATACATAAGATTAAGAAATAAAGATAAAAAACATAACCCCAGTGTCTAAAAGTGGGTTATTAAGGAGGTTAGGCCTATCTGCAATGCCTTTAAGAGACAAAATGGAGCAATTTCTTTAAATGGAAACTTGGGGCAAGCTTTTTTCTGCTTTACAGCTTTTCAAAATGAAGCCATTCTCATCTATTATCCACTTAAAGCAGTAACTAATAGTTCACATCATAACAAGGGAGAGCACATAAAAGAGGGTACACTTTTACATCTGAACCAGTGAAGTTGCATTTTATAAAGTTTGTATTCTTTTTTTTACCTAATGTGTAGCCATAATGTATCTCATTACCCTATCACAGGTGACAGGAGATGCTTTGGGCTGGGGGTTTGTTATCAGAGGCAAGGCTCCCTGTTATGTGCAGGCTGTTGACCCTGGAAGCCCTGCAGCAGCTGCTGGGATTAAGGTGGGATTAAAGATACACACATGGTACTAAGAGAATATTATATCATAACCTCATTAGGGTTTGTAAATTCTAACTTCATCCAAAAACATCTGTCATGTACCTGATACATTTTTCTTTAGGTGCGACAGTTTGTGTGCCAGGTGAATGGATGGTGTGTTCTGCACTTGGACTACAGGACCGTTTCTAGATTGGTGATGACAGGACCTCGCACTGTTGTTCTGGAAGTGATGGAGCCAGTGGAATGAGTCCTGTTTTGGACAAGGCTACATTTACTAAAACTTAAATACAATATAATTTATTTTTATTTGTAGATCCAGTGGGACAGAGTTGATGGAGGCCCACTTATTTTTGTCAGTCATTGAAAATGTTTGTCTTGGTTGCAGTAAGAAACTACAAAGAGTTGAACCAATGGTATGTTCATGAACCTGAATTTCTGAACAATAAATATTGCTTTGATAAAACTGAAAATAAGTCACTCCAATAATACCACCACAATGAATACAAACATTTATTCATGAAGCCTCTACCCTTCTCTCTGCAACGACTTCCGTTTTGTTGTGGTCGCCATTTTGGATTGAGAGTTGGCTCACTTGGAACACATAACATTAGCTAGCAAGCTGGCCTGACCACCGGTGCAAGCAAAAGAATTAGCTGAAGGACAGTGGGCAAAGGTGGCAGTCCTAGCTTTTAGACTAACGTGTTAAACATGACATGTGCACCCCCTTCGTCTTGCTAAGTAGCAACAATAGCTAAGCAGATATGATAGCTAACTTGCCGTGGAGCTGAGCAACAACACCGGCTTTGAAGAGAGCGAACACCATCAGTCTGTACACACTGAATGGCAGGTTTACTTGTTTGTTAGCCTTTTAATTCAGCGAGGCAACCTGCGTGAAGCAAGTCTTCACACGTAACAAACGGTGAGTAAAGCGCACCCATTGGTTTAAAAATGAAGCAATAAATGGCAATAACCGGCTATGCAACGCTAGCTTTGGCGCTGAGTAGGTGGGCAAGCCGAAAAGAGCGAGGGCTGCAGTGCTAATTTAGTTAGGCTAACATGATAACACTAGCCTACAAAGCTAACAACATGTACTATAACACTCCTGATTACCGAAATCATTGTACATAGAAGGACAGAGAGGTAACAGTCCTGCTGGGTGATTCTGTATTTCTGGTCAAACCGGCACTCAATAAATGAGACCGACTAAATTGAAGCTTGCCCGCTGAAATAGTACCAGACCCCTGAATAAACTGGAGCACTGAACATGGATAAGGCCATCCTGTCATCATAAGTCAATATGGTGACAGTGATTTATTGAATGGAGACTAGTCGAAAGGGTGTGTCGTTCTTTTATGACGTTGGTGATTGATCTATAGCGGTCAATGAATGCGAATCTAAATTTTAATGCAACAAAATCATCTTAAAATCATAGCTAAAATGAGAAACGTTCTAAGCAGAATTTAGAAAAGCTCATTCATGCTTTTGTTTCTAGTAGTACTACTGTAATGCACTACTGACTGGCCTCCCCAATAAGACAATCAAACAATTGCAACTCATGCAAACACCAAGGAGAGAGAACACAGTACTCCAGTCCTTAAGTTTTTGCACCAGCTTCCAGTTTGATACAGAATTCAATTTAAGGCCCTGCTTATTGTCTACAAGTCTCTCAATGGTGTGGTCCCAAGATATTGTATATCAGAGATATATTTGCTGAGTACACGCCTAGTAGGTGTCTCAGATCTGCACGAACTGGTCAGCTCGTGGTGCCCAGAGTTCAAACTAAGTGAAGTGAAAGTGCTTTTAGCCATTATGATACCTACTAGGGATGTGATGATACATTTAGCTCACGAGACGAGATGATGCGATATTGGGTTCATGAGACACTGATATTTTAACACTATTTTTAAGAAACCTTCAATGATGAACTATATGGCTGGAAAAATAGTCTTTTATTTGACTGAAATTCACAAAATGCAAAACAATGCAGGTGCACTTTGAAATGTTTCAGCTAATCACAAGTGTAATGAATGTAATGAATGTCACTTCAGTTCTACTTTCTGAATATGAATTATCATATGCAGTAAAAAAAAAAAACAGCAACAATATGCAAACACTGTGAAAGGTTTTGCCACAAACTCAACTGACTGGCTTCTCTTCTGTATGATTTCACATGAGTCTCTTCAGACCTTATAACTGTGCATGAAGTATACATGAGCTTCTAACTTCTAACTGAAGCTGTGTGTGACCTTCTGTGCTATTTTCACCTTCACCATCTGGCAAAGGCATTGACCAATCGCATACGAAGGATGATCGCGGGGCTTGGACACCCGTGGGAAGAAGAGGACTTTTGTTTACCTTGTTAATATGAGCATTCACTGCTGTTCACTGTCAAATTTGGGCGACAGTTAATTCACCATAATGACATGCCACGCATTCTCATTAGTACTGGATGTTAAACGCTGTTTTTTATCCAATTCTACACTGGCGTTAGAATTGGTGCTAAGGTAGAGTAGGTTATATTAGCAGCATGGCTAACCAAAACAGAAACTCATGGGCTGGAAACATGAATGAAGCCACTCATGACAACACATCACAATGTGGCTGTATCATGCCCGCCTACGACACTCCCCCCTGCAACCACCCCCCTGACCAATGCAGCTCTGTGCATTAACCTCTAGAGTCCTGAGCTTTGGAAACCCAAGCTGTGCGGTCCTCATATGAGGACGCAGGGACTCTAGAGGTTAAAACACAGCAGGTAGTTGGGTTTTTGACAGACTAATGTGAACGTATACTGGCCTGGCTCTGTTATGTGCTAATATTGCCAGAGAGCTTTTGCCTCAGTGAGAAATATCATGTTATAATATTGCGAGATGTCGAGGCACATCACAGCCCTGTTGCCCACAACTGGAATCAGCTTTCATTAGAACTTAGATCTGCCCCAACTGTAGCCACTTTTAAAACTAAACTAAAGACTGTTCTTTTTTTCTGCTGCTTTTTAATGTTTCTTAATTTCACCCAGTATTGCATTTTATCCACTTCTGTTTTTTCTTTTATTCATCATCTGTTGAGCAGTGACCAGTTGACTTCATTATGCTCTTTGGCTAACCTTATAGACACTGATGCTTCAGTTCTTCTGGAAGACAGTACACCTGCTTCTGGTGTAAACTACTCGGAGGTTAGTCTTTGGAAAACTGAAGTAAAGGGTTACAAGTATATTGAGAACAGTGAGAATCCAGAGTTTGCCACAGCTATGCTAAAGGTTTTTGGGGTTGTTTAGCTGACTGTATAGACACTGGTGTTTCTAATTCCTGGAAGGAAGTATGCCCTCATTTGATGTTAAAGTATTCAGAGGTTAGTCTTGAGAAGACTGAAGTAAAGGGGTATAAGTATATTGAGAACAGTGAGAATCCACAGTTAGCTACAGCTATCCTACAAATACTAGGCATCTACTCATGCATGTTACTACTTGTCATGTAATTGTTGCTTTTAAGTAATATTTATCTTATTTGTATTCTGTTTTACCTGTATATGGATTTTAATGTTTTATGCATCTGTGTTCATTGTGTTAACACTTTGAATTGGCTTTGTCTATCAAAATGTGCTATATAAATAACCTTACTTTGCATATAATATTACATTATCTTAAAGAAACTGCTTGCTGTAATTTTGCTTAAAATTAGGCCCATGTCTAACCAATCAAAAGTGTATTTTCTGTTTATCAGGAGAAATGTATCAACTTCCAGTAAATAATCTCTCAAGAATCCGGAAAGCTAGGAAACAAGTGAAAAAAGCACTTGGAGACATTGGATTGGAGTACTGCAAGGAGGCAGCAGAGGTGACTGTTTTTATTTGCAAGTGTTGTGTTGCAGAAACTCTAAATTGAATTGAGAAACATGACTTATAAAGGAGGTTATAAAATGACTATTCATGTTTAAAATGATAGTTGTGTGTTTATTTTTCATCTCTGAGTGCAACTGCAAAATCAACAGGTTATGCAAGAACGACTGCTCTCACAGACAACAATTTTCAAGATACAGATTTTGTTCAAATATGAAGCAGGATCAGGAGAATTTGTCATAAGCCAGTGTAGCTTTTAATTACAAAGTATTGTGTGCTGTCAGTCAGACATGCCAGATTGTGCATACACTAAATTAACATTTCTTGAGAACAATAAATATGCCTTAATCTTTTCAATTCTTTCCACAGGAGTTCAAAGAGTTTTGCCCAAATGAGCAATTTGTAAAGGGTACGCTTTGCCTTGATATCTGCGCGTGGGATCCATCCTACTCTAAAACACAGGTAAATCTTATTTCTGTGTCCAAGCTGTTTTCAAATGCTCTTGCACAATTTGACATATTTGTCTTAATGACAGTTTTTTCCTTGTTATCCTTTAGGAATACAGATCAAAGCCATTTTGCTGCACAGAGTGCCCATTTTCTTCCAAGTACTACTCAGGCTACAAGAATCACTTCCGCAATGTACACAAGGAAATCTTTGACAGTAATATTCTGCTCAACTGTCCATACTGCACATTCACTGCAGGCAAGAGAACTTTGGAGACACATGTTAAAATATTCCACATACCTAGTTCACGGCAATATTACGGGAGCTCACTGGGAATGAAAGACAAGTCGGATGTTGACATACCCAAACAAAGCGATGTGGAGAAAGCGATGTACTTTTGCAAAAAATGCAGTTTCCGGGACACACTCTACAACATTGTGAGAAGGCACATCTACAGGGAACATTTTCAGCATATTGTCTCACCATATGTTGGAATGGTTTCTGATTCAGCTGTCAAAAATGGTGCTAATTCTGTCAGTGGTAATAACATCCTCTGTAAATTCTGCCAGTTCTCCACTCGTAGCTATGAGGCTCTAGTACAGCATGTTATAGAGTACCATGAGCGCATTGGTGCTCAAGTAACCACCATGATTGGACATGCTAATATTATTGTCTCCAGGTCTCAGTCTTTAGCGGTCACCTCTCAAAAAGCCCCTATTAGGGCCCACCCACTTCGAACTGAATCAACAGCACAACCAGTAATTGGATATTTAAAGCCAATGGCCCCTGTCTTAAAAAGTCAGTCGTCAGTCGTTGCCAGTCAGTATTTTACCATTCCTGGCGCTTTGAGTGAAACTAAGGCTACTGGTGTAAACACAGGCACTGGTGTAAACACAGCCCAAACACAGAAGTGGAAGATATGTACAGTTTGCAATGAGCTTTTTCCTGAAAACCTTTATAGTGCTCATTTTGAGAGTGCGCACAAGGCAAAGAAAGTGTGGACTCTGGCTAAGTACATCATGAAAATCCACAACTTCACCAGCAAGTGTTTGCTTTGCAATCGCTATCTGCCCAGCGATACACTGCTTAACCATATGCTTATTCATGGGCTCACCTGTCCGCAGTGCCACTCTGCTTTCCACAGTGTTGAGAAAATCATGGAGCATGTGGCTCAGGCTCACCCTGATGACTTTGTTGGACCCCCTGGTGCATCACCGCTAACTTTTGATCTTACTATTAAACAAGAAAAGTCTAGTAATGTTCAGCTTCTTGTTCTCACTTTTAACATGAAGGAATCTATCAATGGTCAAGATCAGTCTGCATCTGCTCAGAATAGTGTTCCACCTCTTGTCAAACTAAGTGCTCCAAGAATGATTGAGAAGAAAAGTGAACCACTTCCTAGTAGTTTCCCTTCATCGACTCAGAAAAGTGAGGTTGGGAAAACTCTGTGTCCACTGTGTTTCACTATCCTCAAAGGTCCCATCTCTGATGCTCTGGCTATGCATTTAAGAGAGCGACACCAAGTGCTGCAAACAATGCATCCTGTTGAAAAAAAGATGACATACAAGTGCATTCATTGCTTAGGAGTGTACACAAGTAACATGGTGGCCTCCACAATCACACTGCATCTTGTCCAGTGTAGAGCTGTAGGAAGGAACCAGGCAAGCCATGGCTTCAAGCCTGCCTTGACCCTCAACTCATCTGGGGCTGGCTTTCTCAAGAGACAGGCACCGACACAGGCCACACCAAACCCCAAGAGGATAAAACAGAGCAAGGAGTCAAAGATTTCTTCCACCACCACTGGAAATCAGGGTGAATATGATGGCCTTGCTCTGGATCCGAGAAGCTATGAACACAAAACATATGAGGCCAGAAAGAATTTCCTAACTGCCTACTTCAACCGACGGCCATACCTTTCTCCTCAGGAAGAGGAGAAGCTGTCTGCAAGTCTGTGGCTGTGGAAGTCTGACATTTCTAATCATTTTGTAACTAAGCAAAGGATATGTGAAAGACAGTGTGAGACCCGGAAGGTGTCTGTGCTGCTTGGTTTTGACATGCATGCTCTCAAGCAAGTTAAGCATAACTTGATCTTTGAGAAGTACAAGTTCAAGGGCATGTCAGTGGGGAGCTCTGGAGCCCTGAAGTCTAGTGCTCCAAACACAGACCAAAACAAGCAGTGTGAGACACTGAACTGTACCTTAAAACTCAGTACCTGCACAGAGGCTATTTCTGTTGACTCAGACAGTGAACCAGAAACAATAGCTAGACCAAATGAGAATGGAAACATTGTCATGAAACAAAGTGAGAAGGTAACATCCCAGGAGCCAGTAAAGATGACAGAAGAGACAGAACCTGTGAACACAGATGATCTGAAAGAGAAGGCGAGCTCTTTGCAAGATGGGAATGCAAATACTTGGATGGCTTTCTGTTAGTGTCCCTGCTTAGCGGGGTGCCTTGGATGAGTCACATCTTGGCTGTAAAGGAGTGTGTCAACTAAGTTCAAAACCAGGTCTTTAGACAATTTGGTCAGTTATGAAATAGGCTACTAAAACTCTATTTCCAAATGATGGTCTTGTTACCAGTGTTGGATTGAAGGAAAGCGGTTCACCTATAGTGCATAAATATATGGCATACGTAAGTAACAATGTATATACTTTAGCCATGGTTCTTTGTTAGTCTCTTCATGCAGTCTGTGTTAGTCACTGGTTAACTGTCTCAAGATTTATGGTTATGTCATCCTAATTCCACAGGGATATTTCTCAACTGTGGCAAACAACTGCATCATGTTGTCATTTCACATTTAGGTTTAGGATATGCAAGTTGCTTATGTACACATTTTAATAAATGTTTGTTTAATTTAAAAACAAGGTTCTTAAGGTTTTTAATTCAATGGTGCCTCATCTCAGAAAAATAATGGAAGACTGTATATTTAGGACGGCATGGTGGTGCAGTCACCTCACAGCAAGAAGGTTCCAGGTTTGAGCCCCAGCAGAATGGGCGCCTATTTGTGCTGAGTTTGCATGTTCTCCCTGTGCCTGCCTGGTTTCTCTTTGGGTACTTTGGCTTCCTCCCACAGTCCAAAGACACGCAGCTTATGTTAAAAGTAAATGTATTGTAAGGTATATGATCAACTAGAGGTCAAACTTCTTATTTACTAGCAACCACCACATTTTCACATTTCAATGTAAATGGCCTCCATTAAGCCATCTTAATAAGTTAAACTAAAATAATTAAAAATTTGAATAAATCAGTATCTCCTTTACTCCTTGTACCGCTTATAATAAGTTACGGCGTCATGGTGTTCTAGTACAAAAATTTAACGAGGAAAGCAAATTAGAACCGTGTTATTTAGAAAAATATGAAATTAAATCACACCAAATGCATCTACATCCTTCTAATGATTTCACGGATCTACTAATTTCCGGTACATCTCAGACCTTGATTGGTGCAGAAGCAGGAGTAGGCGGGTCCTCTGGCTGGTACAGTAGCAGAATTGGCCAATCGCCAGCGTGCATCGCTGTCCAGGCTACATGGTCTGCAGCTGCAAAGATGTCCATTCCGTGGCTGCATTCACGTCTATAGTGTTTAGTAACTGTAGCTGCACTCTCCGTGGGAAAACCAACCTTTTAGCAGTTGTAAGTATAACTGTCAACAATGATTAGCTCATATCAGTCACATGAATACAGTTCGTAGTTGTTTTTGATGCGTTTCCTGTGGGCTGTTTATAAACAGCTAGTTAACGTTAGCACATGAAGCTAAAACTGGTAGTAACGTTATTATCTACGTGACTTGTACGTTAGCCAGAGCTGTCAGCGGTGGCAGGCTAGTATGTAAACACATATTTGGCTTGATATACATCGCAATGATTTAGAGTTACAGAATTTTAGAATGCTATTCCTTCAAAGCTGCTAGTTAGCTAATGTTTCTTAGCTCGTGTTTCTTTTCCCAATGTCTGCTACAGTTTGCAGTTTGGATGTGGTAATTTCCGTTCAAATTATCAATTTGTTTCCATTCATTTCCTTACAACAGGAAATGCTGTCAGCAGATTGCTGAAATGCAGTCACTAAGTCTCCATAATTATCATTGTACGCATTAACGTTGTCTTCGCTGACGCACTGCAGATATTTAAAATAAATCTGCGAGTTGATCGTATCAGTCCAACGTGATAACGTACGTTAACTGACAAATCCAAACTTGATGCTTCTCGTTAATGTGATTGATAACATAATTCAAGGAAATCCCGAAAGTTTCCTGATGGATTTTATATCATACAGAAAGAAATAGAAACCAAAGGCTGTTAAAACACAGTAGCATGGGTTGAAAAATGTTAACGGATATGTTTTTCTCATCCATGTATACTTCCAGTTTGGTATTGCAAGCACCATACAGGGAAGAAGGTCTGATGTGATAGACTGAGAGGAATGGCAGGAGAAACTGTGGTCTGATCAGGCAGGCTCTGTGTTAGAGGTTCACATTGTGGGAATAATGTCGTACAGTCACAGAGAGCTGGTGGAGTTCTATATAAGCTACAAGTTGTCTCAGAGAAACTACTCAACCTCTCTGCTGAGGCCGGAAAACGCTGGTGGAAGGACTGAGGGAGACAGGACCAACCCAGCTACCACTAACGGCCTGCTGGGCAATAGCCGGGATGGGAGGGGGGCAGTGGCATAGAGGCTGTAAAGGCTGCTCTTAGGGACTCTGCTGATGAGTTTGAACTGCGCTTCACACAAGCATTTAGTGACCTTTCCTCGCAGCTTGTCATCACTCCTGACACAGCCTACAACAGCTTTAAAAGCGTGATGGATGAAGTGTTCAAAGATGGAGTCAACTGGGGACGTATTGTGGGCTTGTTTGCTTTTGGTGGTGCACTGTGTGTGGAATGCGTCGAGAAGAATATGAGTGAGCTGGTGTCCCGCATCGCAGACTGGATGACCATGTACCTGGATGAGCACATCAGTCCGTGGATCCAGAACCAAGGAGGCTGGGTGAGTCACAAGGGGATCAGCTGAACACAGCTTTATTTTTGGCACCTGGACTGTAGAGCGATTGTAAATTGGTATCTGCATCAGTAATGACCCTTTGAAGCAGATTTTGTATAGGCCATGACTTGGCTGGAACAATACAATTTCTTTGTTAACGTCATTCTAAATTTCTGTCTGTGGGGTGGGCAGTCGACTCAAGTTAGTAGCAACAGTAAGTAATCTCTGCCATCATGTTTTTAAGGTTATATGTATGTATATTTTTGTGCAAAGATACAAAAGTGCCGGTATTTTTGGCCACAGCATAGAGATTTGGTGTAGCATTAGTTTAATGTGGATGCAAAGAACACTGTCAAATAATTAAACTCCTGTCCTTTTTTTTCTTTTGTCTGCATCAATCTTGGATTCCAGGACTGCTTTGCAGAGATTTTTGGGCGAGATAACGCTGCAGAAGTGCGAAGATCTCAGGAGACCCTGAGGAGATGGCTGCTAGTTGGAGTGGTGCTGCTAACAGGAGTGCTGGTTGGTGTGCTTGTCGCTAAGAAATTGTGAAGATGCTGCATCTCTCTGACCATGGCAAGCCCTGTGTAATGCCACGCCAACAGAAACAAAACTAAATAGTTAATGTTTACAAAAAGCCCAGTTTGCTTGTGCACTGACAGAATGTGGATTGGCTTAACAGGGCTCCAGACTGCGAGTGATCTGTCGCATTTTGCAAACAAATTTATTTAAGGTGCGTCTGACTCTTTTCACAGGTTGCACTGGGTGCAACTGCAAAATCAACAGGTTATGCAAGAACCACTGCTCTCACAGACAACAATTTTCAAGATACTGACATTGCAGTTTTTATCTACAGGTCTGTCATTCACCTGTGTCACAAAGCAGAGACTGCCAATCTGTCAGATGTGTCGATCCACACTGACTCCGAGACACACGCATCATCCCTGGACCCCTTTTTTATGCTTCAGGGCTATTTTTTCCTTTGGCACATTTGAAGTGTAATCGCCACAGACAGCTGCTTAAAGACAGATCACCTGTTAGCCAGTTTATGTGTTGGAAACTTAAATGAATAAATCCATACATATAAACACTGCTAATGAGCCTACTTGAAGAACTGTTTTTTTCCAGTGCTGTCCTCCTGCTGACAGACAGCTGTTCTGACGAGAGATGATGCACAGAGGTCAGAGTCGGTGTGGATTGAACAGATCAAGGTCACGCATATGCACCACTCGCATCTAGCGAAGTCCCATTTTGAAGTTAGTGGCTGAAACCCACTATCAAGTCCTTCTTTAAGTAGTAAGCCACTAGTACGTTTAGCCCAAAACTGAACTGGCACTTAGCCAGGTGAGTGAGAGAGTTAAACTGTGCATGAAATCCAACAGACATCGCCAAAGAGCAGAAAGTCTTCTTCAGAAGCAAAACAGGCTACAAATAAGTCACGTCTACAAACAGCAAAGCATGCACGCCATTCAGCGGTTTACATTTCAGTTGACATATGATAGGCTAATCATCATCGTCATCATTATCATCATTTGTTGATTGCTAGGCTGTAGAGCAGTACAGTGACTATATAAAAAGAAACTTGGAAGTGATTTCCCCATTTATTGTGTTCCATAAGTCTCCCTCTCTCTGAATTTCATTCTAAATCCAGGGTATGTGCATTGGAGGTTAAGGTTATTTAAAATAATTTGTGAAAAACATATATATATATACTTTTTTTTTCATTATGTTGTAAAACAGAGGTGGTGCCATCTGAGAGACATGGTGGCACCAGTATGAAATGTTAGTCTGGAGCCCTGCCTAAGCAGTTTGTGGGAGTATCCATAATATGTAGCTTGGTGAGCTGTTATACTTCTCACTCTGCTTTGTCCAGTGTCTTTTATTTTTTTAACACACAGCAGAGAGTTTCATTTGTTAAGAGTGTTAACCCTCCAGGCTGGAAGTGCTTTAAATGTACCTGATAAGCTAAGAGACGGTGGAAGAGATTAGCTAGTGTGAGACAGCTTTTTAGTTTTTCCTGTGAACATTATTCAAGGACCAATTTTTATTACTTACAAACTGACAGCCAACAGAAAATATAAGTTATATTTTCTTTTCACTGTGTAATGCTCAGCTCCTTTGTTGGCTGTACTGGAGTTTAAAGCATGCTTACAAAATAAATATATTTATGTTTTTCTTGAGTCTTTATTTTGTTTTGTTCTACAGATTGTCTAAAAAGCATTGTGGAAATACACATGCATCTACAGCTTGTGAATCTGAGTCCCGAGTCCAACAAGCTGTAATTGTGCAATAATTTCCCACAGGACTGGTTGCACTATCATATGTGCCTTTAAAGATTTATTTCATGAGAAAATTACTAGCCTGGTTCCAGACCTCTGAATCGATGCTCTGATTCCATTACTCAATAATTCAGATTCAGAGAGTGAAGTGAAATCACCAGGCTGGAAACAACTTCTATGGCCCACATGGGTTCTACAGAGCAAACTGATTAACATGTAATAATTACAACATTTTAACAGCAGCGGTTGACAGTGGAGGTTTAATGCATTGTTAGGAGTGTCTTAAAAAAACTAATGAATGACTTCATATTCATCATCAATGCAAACAGTTACATCTGCACGTTGATGCCAAACCACACACTTGTTCTCATATTTGGGTTGTCATAGGTTGGGCTGAGTTGTTGAAAAAAAGGTCACCTAACTGAGATACTGTATATATCTGTAGGCTGATACCTACATTAAGGAGTACTTCAGATCTATCAAGTGAACCTAAATAATGTATTTATCCAGAACCCCCCTGAAACAACTGATACATTATATTTTTCTATTAACACATACGTGTTTTTGTCTGTACAGTTACGTATCTACTAGACAAAACCAGGTAATGACAGAAAGGTTCCTTCCCTGATTCATATTCAGTTCATCATAATCTGCATCCACAATGTACTTGACAATGAAAATGCCACACATACACATAAATGTGTGTTATCTCTAAAGTGCAGTTCAGGACTTTGCCTCCAGTGTAATTTGAAAAAAAAAAAAAAAAAAAATTAAGCGATCATTGCCTTTCACAAACATGGAGGTCCTCGTGTACTGTGTCTCAAAATTACATTACTTAGAATTGATATTTTATTTCTTACTGTCAGAGGTGTTTACAGGGTGTTCTGCTGTGATATTACATAATTTCATTTATCCTTTCAGCAAGGCTAATGTAAACTCTGTTTAAACATGAATTTGTCCAGGGATGGGTTCATTTCATATGAACCCATCCCTCCCTGAAACTGATAAGATAATGTAACTTATAAAGAAATCACTTGTTTCCAGTTTCTACAAAAACATTCTTACAGCTCTGGAGGATAAAACAGGCTGAATGGGAAAAGAAAGCAGCACTCAGTATGAGAGAAAAGGCCACTAACGGACGGCCTTGTGAGTGAACTGGAGCAGGCCTGTGGTTGCTAATCTGTCCCCGTCATTTGTTGCCATTTCCCCAGAGCAGAGCTGGCAGCTGCGGCAGATAAACAGCAGATAGAGACAGTTAAAGAAAAGCATATAAATTATGGACACAGTTGTCAAACGGTGTTGATTTTTTACATTTCATCTCTTTCTCTTTCTCTCTCGCTGTCTGTCTGCAATCTATTGCTTGTCTCTTGATGTTTCCTGATACTGCTAAATGTTGCAGATGGAAATGAGGTGCAATGTTCTGCTTTAGTGTGATTTGGGGTAAACTTTGGGTGAATAAGGCAAATGGACTGTGATAGAAAACCCCTCATCTCGCTCTGTACGGCTCAGGGCATTATCGGTGTTCTGTGGGAATCATGTGGCTTAAGCAAAACAATGCTTGACTGCTAATGAAATCAAGCCACAGAAATACCCACAAGTTAAATGTTTTATTTTTTGTCCTCGGGTGTTTTATAATTAACGTGAGCTAAAGGCTTCTAATCGAAATGTATGCCTTATCACCAGTATATTGTGAGATGTGTGTGGGTCATGCTGTATCATGAGTGGGTTGTGTGCCCAGATGTTCAGCAGCCTGTGCTGGTTGAGCTGAATGCATAAATGAAAGTCTTATTTTTCCATTAAGTCTGCACTGAAGCATGCACAAATCTGCTATGAAAACACAGGCGGTGTATGGGTGATAATTTACACAGATTATGAAGTTTGACTGGATTTATTTGACTCACACATGACACAGTGACTTTGAAACCAAACTCTTTTGAGCAAACAGATCAAGTGCATCTAGAGCAGCAGTGGGACTTTACAGGCCTTCAGACAATGCCTATAATAAATGTATCTCTTTATAATAACTGCTAAGTGTTGTGTCTAAATCCCTAAAGTGTACACAGCGTCCCTCAGTGACTAACTGACGGGGTGTGAGAGTGGCGGTGCCAGCAGCAGGTGGATGGTCTGGGGTCTGTGGCCTCAGTGATAACTTATCAGTCATCCCCCAGTCCTGAGAAAGCAACCCCAGCCCTGCTGCTCACCATACAAAATACACTACACACTGTATATTGCCTACTACATTTTGAATAAAATGTTACTGAGGAAAAAGCATTTAGAGGACTTAAAAAAATAATAATTACATTTTTGTTTGCATTTAAGGATGTTTGTTTGTCTTTTTTTTTACAAAGTATGTCAAAGAACTTTCCCTAAATAGTGTATATCTAATCAGTTATTAAGACATGTTCATAAGTAAAACAGTCATGTCTTGTTCACCTGGATATAAAGAATCAAGTTAAATGTCATTTGTTGCCATTTCCATTAAAAGTTAAATGTCTCCTCTGCCCAATAAGTTTCTATAAAAAATCTATAAAAACTGCATGACAAAGGAAAACATACTCTGAAAGAATGCTTTCATTTTCTACTACTGCATTTCTACAATATAGATATGACACTTTTTAACACCTCTACATTTATGTTTACTTTTCAGGATTAAAACTAATGATCATCTAACAAAATAAGAAGTATGGTTTCAGATTAAACTACCCAAATGTAGCTTCACATAATAGAAGAGGGGCTGTTTTGCTGCATAGAAAACACTTTTACTTTTGATAATTTAGCTGATTATACTTTTAATTTAAGTAAGATTTTTCATGCAGGATGTTTTACTTGTATTTTGACAATGTGTTATTGCTACTTTTCCAAAAACATCTGATTGCTCATCACACAGCTGATGGGTCCAGCCATTCTGATGCTTTAGCTTCCTGCTGTCTGTCTTTGACCTCTTTAGGAAGAATTAACAACACATGTAAATAAGCATAATGTCGGGAAACATACCATTACTCATCAGTGCTAAGCAACTTCTCTGTAGTCTCTGACCTTTACATTCATGCACTGCATGACAGTGGAAATTTAATGCATGAAGAAAATTCCCTTTATGTGAATGCCAATGCTGATGAGTAAGAAGAGTGAGTTGTGATACCATGTGAGTGAGGACATTTTGAGAAAGTAATGGCATTTTGGCTGGTCTCCATTTTTGGAAACAACTTCAAAGGGCCTGTCTGAGGGCTATAACATGTTTTAGGGTTAAGGTAAAAAGCAGGTTTAGGTTAAGTTAAGGGAAAGGTTGGGGTTAGGCATTTAATTGTGCTGGTTAAGGTTAGGGTATGGCTGTAAGGAATACATTACAGTATGTCAAGTGTCTTCCCAAAGATAAAGGTACAAAGTGTGGGTGTGTAAGTTTAAACTGTGCTGGGTTAAGTATAAAACCAGTATTGCACTTTAGTTGAATGTTTGTCACTTCTGCAGAATGGATGATTTGCATACCTGCTAGGTTCAATTACACTGTCAAAGTGGAACGCTGCCTGTACAAAGAGGCTATTGTACCTGAGTAGGGGAATACAATAACACCACACAGGAGGCTTTGCTGTGGTCAGTTGACTGAGATGAATGGACAAAGTGAGAATTCAAATGACCTCCACAACTAAAATAGTTCATAACACCAGCAGAAATTAGTCATGTTTATTGTTTTCTATGTAGAATTTTCATATGGGAATGTCAGTCATGCAAATACAAAACAGACCTGGGGAATGCAAAACTATAATTTCACATTATAATTACAAAAGAGACAGAAATATGGCACTCAGATCAGGTTTGTGTTTGTATTCACAGTTGAAAAAATTTCCTTATCACTATGTTTACATGTGCAGCAACCTCAGAGGGATTTTGTCTGACTTCACACAAGAGCCAAATCAAGATAATATATACAAATATTTGTTTTTTTCTAATAAAATACAGTGGAAAATAAAAAGAAAACTTTACATGACAGTCTAGGTAGAAACTCATATGTACAAAAACACACAAATAACTGGCATGCAAAAAAGTACACTGGTTCTTGAATGGCACCTGTTTTGTTATTTCACACCAGTGTGGGCACCATGCCAGTGTTGAGGTGGTGTGTGTAGGGTATTGAGGCAGAGGGGTGCAGATGAGAGGGTGTTGGGATGAGGTGTGGCATGTGGCTGTAAGTCAGGAGAGTCCCGGGGCTGAGGGAAAAGGGCCCGTTGTCGTCCAGTGAAGGTGGCTGAGCCACCTCCGAGTACTGCTCCAACATGGCGGCCTTCTTGCTCTTCTTGTTCTTGGTGGAGACTTTTCGGTTGCGAGTTTGAATGCCGTCCTTCTTCATGGTGAGGGGGCGGTTGACCTGGAAATGAAAGGAATTAAGTTAGTGAATTTTAGATGCTAGGTCAAATACTCCAAATATTATATACAGAGCTGTGCACGAGGTTCTGTACTATAGTTACATACTCACATTGTGCAATTTAAAGTAAAGTCCACAGGCATTGCACACAGGCTCTCCATTGGCGTTGCGTCTCCACAGTGTTGTTGTGCTTGTGTGACAGTTGGCACACAGTGTACCTGCCCGCTTGCTGACAATCTACAACACAGAAAAGCAAATAAACAGGTGTAGTAAACTGCTCTAACAGAGAAATTAGTCATTCAATATTTTACAAAAAACCAGTCCTGGGTAATCACTACCAGTCTCTTACCAGTCTCTTCTTGGGCCGGATTAGAGGCCTGTTTTGGCCATTCATCTTGTGGTACAGTCCACAGGCATTACACAGGTAGTGGCCTGTGCCATCCCGACGCCACAGAGGAGTAGCTGTGGCTCCACAGTTAACACACTCTCTGGCCTCTGTTCAAGATCAGGAGGAAACAGTTGTCACTGCACATGCTTTAATGCACAGAGGGTTAATTACAAAATGCTACTTGTTACAGAAACACTTCTTGAAACTCATCAGGCAATATCTGGAAAATAAAGTTGTGTCTTCAAAAAATATTTTATGAGAAAATGTCTTACAATTACTTATAATACCGGAAGCAAATGTTGAGTTAATATCTCACTATTGATTCTTTATTTGACAAACAGTCACACCAAATGGTTGGTTTAGAGGTTGATCTGGAGCTGTCACTCGCATCAGCAGACAGAGTTCCTCGGTTTTCAGGCTTCTTATGCATGTTGATTTAAGAAATTAGAAGTTAATTATTGACCTGAAGTGTTTTTGTCAATGCAACCATTTACTGTACATTTCTGTGACAACAGAGCAACTCCATCTGCTGTGAAAGAACATGTGGTATGATTGAACGCCCCACAACAGCCACCAACCAGACCTTGTGGTGAGATTGTTTTGTCATCAGTATCCAAATTCTATTTTGAGGTTACTGACTGCTCTGTTAAATAATCAAATTATACCAGTTACAAATCTAAAGCTGTGTTCTCACCGGGAGTGGATATCCTCATCTTATTGCGAAGTTTCGGGGAGTAGGAGGGGCTGATCCAGGCCCCAGGGTTGGAGTAGAGTGCCGTAGAGCTGTACTCCTGGGGGTTGGTCATGTACGAGCTGTATGGGCTCAGCATGTGTGGGTGGGAGTGAGGCAATGGTGTGTACACACTCCCAGAGGCAGGAGTCAGGTTCAGAAAGCTGCTGCTGGCTCCTGAACCCCCGGGCGGGCTCAGGCGCTCAGCCTTCAAGGCCTCTGGAAGCTGGGGGCTCTCCTGGCCCTCTCTGCCAGGAGATGGATATCCATCTCTAGAAGTGGTGAAGGAGGAGGTGGTGTAGATGGAGGTTGGGGTGTGTGAGTGCATAGGAGGCTTGGTGAGAGGACTGCTGCTCCAGGTGGAGGCTGGAGGGTTGTAGGGTGAGCTCAGGGAGTGGCTTGCCGACCCGTCCAGCAGCTGGAGGTTACTGAGTAGGTGAGGTGAGGTGAACACCTGTCGAACTTTGGACAGAAGGACAGAGGAGGTACAGTCACATCATAGTTTAGAAGGTGGATTTATTGGGTGAAGGTGAATGGGAGCACTGACCCGAGCTGTGTCTGTAGGTGGACGGTGCTCGGCTGTGGCTTGGGTTGGAGAAGAAAGAGGGCAGGCCGGTGTAGTCCGTGTCCTGGCTGGAGAAGAACACCTCACCCTCGTCTCCTGGAGGCAGGAGGCTGGGATCAGAGGGGAAACCGGCCAGAGGGTCTGAGGTGAGCAGAGCTGGAGACACCCAGTGGGACTGCTCTGATGAATCCTCCATGCTGACAGACTCAACCTGTAGCCAGACCATGGGGATGGAAAAATGTAAATGCATTTTCTCAGGCTATTTTTTGAAAGCTCCTATCAGATTTGACAGTTTTGATCAGACTAGAACAGCACAAATGTGAAACAGCTGTGTGATTTATTGTACCTCTGATTGAGGCAGATAAATTATTATCACTAAGCTCTTTACTTCACAACAACCAGTGTAACTTGACATTATCAAGGACAAGATCTCTCGACAGCAGGCTTCTTCAAACTTCCTTTTCTAGGATCCTCATTTGACTGTGGCTGAAAGTAAAAACTAAAAATAAATGAGTCTAAAAATGCAATGATGTAGCCAGTGACCAAACGGTTACTGAGTGGCCTTTCTGCCGGTTAGAAACATGCTAAAGATATGTGGTGTCAACAAGTTCTATACAAACAGCACGACTCTCCAGCCAAAATAAAAAAAGACTTTTGAAAATCATGTGAAACAGAAACTGTGAGAGCTCCAACTGTTAAAGCGGCATGAGAACTGAGACAAGGCCACTTTTGCTCCATATCTTTAAAGGAAAGAGAACAGGTAGATAGTGTCTGATAAAGTATGAGAAAATCTGATAGATGAAATTATTATAAAGCTAAATATATCCAGCTCCACTTTTACAACATCAGCCTACTCTAATCTGATTAATAGAAATCTGTTACATGAGATAAAATAAATATAAATATATAACACAGCATGTAACTCAAAACCAATCCAAGAGTAATATGCATTGATTATTATTATTTACTTGAAGTTCAATTGTTTTAATTGTGCTCAAGTTGAATTAGTAGGCATTACAAACATATAGCATAAACAAGAGGAGATATCAGTTGGATTTAAGTGAATTTAATCCCAAGATATCTAAAAACATAAGCCAGAAAATAGCTGATCCAAGTTAATTTAAACTTATTGCCACCACTATATTAAGCCACGATATTATGTCAGAGAAAAAATATAATAGAAATATTAACAAGAAAAGAACATTTTGACAGAATACTGAAGTTTAAGAGGAACTGTCCACTTCAGTGAGAAGAAAACTGAATCTCTGTCTGCTCACCTCATGTCAGTGAAGCATTAAATGACCTGAGGTGATATCAAACCCTCATCTGTGAAGGTTTCAGATGCAAAACTATGTTCTCTTACACCAGATAATTTATGCCTGATCAATTAGATCACACACCGATGTCCAGCAAATACTTTAAGACCAATGGGAGACAAAGAACCGATAGGTCACCTACCTGAGTGGGTGCCACAGGTGAACAACGTGAGCAGTAGGCTCAGGGCAAAATTTATGTAACCTGGTGGAGGCTGGCACAGCTAGACCACCATCAGTATAGGCTGATGGCTACAAGAAGAACTTCTCCAACCACAAATGAAGTTTAGGGCTAAGAGACAGTCCGTAGGAGGGGTCAGGGACAACTTTTCTGAAAGACACACCTCTTTGGTCCAGAGAGAGAGAGCTTGTATGAGGGCAGATGAAACATATTTACAGTTCTGAGTGTAAAATGATGTCTCATTTATCTATGAATACTTTTTCTTCTTCTTCTTCTTCTTCTTCTTGTCTTACAACAAACATTTGGCTCCTGAAGCAAAGAAATAAAGGCGAAGTTGTCAGACTTTAAATCTTGGTTCCTCTGCTCTTCCTTTATGGCTGTGTGTGCTGCAATGTAGTGCTGATAACATGTTTGTGTCTCTGATGATTTCTACAGAGGACGCTCCATATATAAAAAGCATTTCAGCACCAAACCAAGGTCATTATCAAACAGGTGTCACTGATTGATAGAAATGAGCAACATAATATGTGTGATAGACATATATGGGTAGGATTTAATGCTTGCACACATATATACAGAAAGGCAAGCTGTTCCAGGCAGGGCAATCAGCATACAGGATGGGTGCATTTTGTCTGTTGATGAAATGTGCATACAGCCTCTGATAAGACCAAACCCACACGGAAAAGACTTAGACAGATGTCTGAACAAAGGAAATATAAGATACGATGCCTCAATTTCTTTGTGGTCCAGCAAAGCTTAGAATGGAACACAGTAATGCAAATCGGGTGATGAGCTGCAATCATAGGGGAGAGATATGGTCTGGGTTTGCACAAGCCCATCACTGTGCCGGTCATTTGACAGTCAAAGCAGCGCTGCACCTTTCCTCTCTCTTTGTTCATTTACAGTTCTCAGGGAAATCAAGGGAGGAAATGGTTGGCAAGAACTGAGGCCTTTTTTACTTGTAGCACAGGGTCTTTTTCTAAAATTTAAGAACCCATAGGAAAATTGAAATTATATCCTCATAAAGTATGTATGTACATATCATATGTATGTCATGCCAGCTGTGGCTGAGGCATCATTTTCCTTAGACATATCACTGTGTTTATAGTTGCTTGGCATGGAATTCTGTGGCAACAGAAAAAAATGATTTACTTGTGTATATAGTAAAGGTGAGCAAGGGTGCAGGCTGAAAACAACTCCACAGGATTATTGCCCAGATGGGTATCAGCAAACAGAGAGCCAGATTAAAATCTCCTTTTCATCAGCCTTGTAGCCAACAGCAGGGACACAGAGGTCAAGTTCGTTGTGTTTTGGGGAATGTTGAAGATTCAGAAACCAATTATGTGTTTCAATATTTAGTGGAAATCAGATGTGGAGAGCAAAATGATCACTGGCTACACAAACCTATCTTTTGTAATTTAAGCCTTGCACTCTATCGATAAATGGCCTTGTTTAATCATGTATTGTTTTGCAGGGGGGCTTCCATCCATCCATTATCTAGGCCGCTTATCCTGAAGAGGGTCATGGGGGTGGGGGTGAGGTGGGGGCTGGAGCCAATCCCAGCTGACATTGGGTGAGAGGTGGGGTACACCCTGGGCAGCTGCTAATCTGGGGGGAGCTTGACTTACATTTTTTATTTACATAAAAATTTTTACTAGCATAAGAATAATATACTTAGTCCCTTTTGAGATATATACTGGTTCATCATTTCTCCAGCTGAACAAGGCAAACCCTCACTTCTTATCTATGAAAGCCCAGGATCTAGGATTCATGACCTCACAAGTTTTATAAGTCTGGGGCGCCCTGATAGCCAAATGTTACGGTGCAGCGCACCATGCACCAGGCACAGCGTGTGCACGACATTGGCAGATCAGTTCAAGACCGCCAACCTATGTATATAAATATCTAATAAAGGTGATTACACACACACAAAAAAAGTTTTAAAATTCTGGCTATGGTGCTACTGTTCATCTCCTTCATGGGAAATTTAAACTTATTCCCACTAAGAATGGTTTAAACCACTGAAAGGAAACTGATTTATTATGACTTCATTTATAATGTATTATTATTTATTATTACTTATGAGTGCTGTTTATAATGCATGTATTATTATGATTATCTTAAATACACAGACTGGGGGGACGGAGGTGGGAGATAATCCACCACTAATGCTCTGCTTAGCATTGTTGCTTCTCAAAGAAGGCAACAGGCTCACTGTTTGAAAGGTGGACTAGAAAGAGTTTGCTCAGTGATAGATCAACAACCTGTGTGGAATGTATCATGCCTCTTTCCCAGTGCATGCTGGGTAGGTTCCAGTTTGCCATGACCCTGAACAGAATAAGTGGAGAAATGGTTGATGATCCTAATTTACCGTGTTGTTCCTTTTTGACTTGATTTTATCAATCTGTTTCTGTGCAAAGTTTTGTTGTAAAGACAATAATATCAAAGTTGAAAGAAAATGAGCTGAACTGCTCATGGAGCACAGCAGTGTGTGTGTGTGTGTGTGTGTGTGTGTGTGTGTGTGTGTGTGTGTGTGTGTGTGTGTGTGTGTGTG